GCAGCACAATAGTATGTCATCCTTCCTTGCAAGAAGGTTATATACATTTGGGAAACCAAGCAACATGGGTTCCCAACATGGGTTCCACATCTCTTCCCTTACAAAATAGCCCCACGTTACTTTCCCAGAATGTTGTCAGAACCCAAAAGATTTGTAATTCTGTAATTATCTGGTGCAATCCTGACCAAAATAGTATCCTTTTCAGAGAAGAAGGGTAGGTTGTTGCTACAGAAGGTTGCCAGAAGACAGCAAAATGGCGAACGCTTCAAATTCCTGAGGCGTGGGCCCTGTGAAGCTAGGCTGGTCTTGGTGCTGGAGGGCTCAGCTGAAGTGGTGGCCTGGAGGCTGTTGCTGTGGGAATGGGGAATTGTTCTTCATCTTCTGCAAACGGGCTGTTTCGCTCTGGCATCAGTAGGATCACTGTACCTGACTTTTCAGGGTTTTCCCTCTAGGTCTGCCAGAATTCTGTGCTTTATTTATGCCTCCTTCCCTGCAGGATGAAAAGTAGCCTCTCATTCATGTGATGGCAAGATTTGCTTTTGCCTGTGCTGCTAAGAGTCTTTTAAACTGACTGAAAAGTTGTTTTTTTTTTTCCCCTCCTCTATATCTCTGAAACATTGATTTATCCATCTGAAAGAGGTGGCAGGTGTCCACGGTAACAAGAGATTCAACATCTGGATGGTCATGATGAGGAATGTTTTTACTGCTAGGTGTCTTGTTGAGTAGCAACTAGTCTTGTGATCTGGACTAATTGTCAGCAGTACAAGAGGAAACCAGCTCTTGTCTGTCTTTCATCGCATAAAATCATCCCACTAATCCTACTTGCTTTCAATAAAATCTTTTTGTAGCTGAAGAGCTATTGAAAATGAATTCAGAAAGGAGTTCTCAGAAGCAAACTGTTCCTGCGGCTTCTTTCTGTAGGTCCCATAGTAAGATGGTTTGACTTCTACTTCAGCAATTTGATTGCTTGCATCCAACTTTTTTTTGGTTCATCTTTCTCTAAGAAAATATGTTTCACTGTGCATGTGACTATCTGACTTTATTTGTGACTTCTGTTATCCCTGGTAGACTACAGGGATGCCTAGGTTATTTGGGAATAGAAACAACAATGTTTAAAGTTGATTCCTTTAAAATGATGCAGTGTGTCTGTTCAGCAGTACAAATCCTTGCAGGAATACGAGATCTGCCCTCTTCTGTTTTAGATCAATTTCAGTCTTGATTCTTATTATTTAAGGTGTCCCCAGACCCAGGATTTCCTGAGGGGTGGCTAAGACTCTGGTGAAAGCTGTTGGCAGTAACAGCAGGCTTTTAGCACAACTTTTCACAGTAACGATAAAACTCATAATTTAATATATGGAAAAAATACATGAAAACTATAATTTTAAAGCGTTATGCAGGAACAATCAGCAATAATAACTAGAAGAGTAATTCTACAACTGCTTCATACTTTGAGTAACAATATTTCCGAGTATGTTATTGGTTACCTAATGAAAGAGTAATAATATAATGAAGTTATGATAAGAAATTGAGTGGAGAAAGCAATAGAGCAACTTACGTTGCGTAACTTTGTGATTTTTTTCTTAAAAAAAAAGAAAAAACTCACTGTTAAGAACTAGCTAGTAGATAACAGTACTCGCCACTGGAAAGGAAATTTAAATTGATATTAAGGATGTGAGAAAGTATGGAGAAACTGGCACTGGAAGACACTGCAAATTTGAGTGACAAGAGCAATAATTAAACTCAAACAGATCAAATTGAAATACAATTTCGTATGTTCCATAGGTTGGATTCCTAATAAGCCTTAGTAGTTTAATACTGACATGTTATGATTCTTGCCCTACGTCAGCATCTTTAACAGCAATGACAGCTGAAGCTGATGGACAAATAAATCTTAAGTCTAAATAAGTGATACCTGAACTCTAAATGAGAAGATTTAGAGTAAACATGAACATTACATAGCCCCTGGAAAAGGACTTGCAAAATCATCTGTGTGAAGAAGAAAGCTGACCAAAAAAATAAAAAGAGTATACTACACAAATCATCTTCTCATGTAACCTGTGAATGATGATAGTAAGGCTGTGAGTAAGAAGCTTGATGAGTTGTCAAACTTATGTCAACTGAAGGTGCTTGTTGAGTGTTTGAAATTGTAGATTTTTGATATCTAAACCATACACACAGTTGTTATTTCCAGCTTACCTGGTGAATGTTCAAATTGAAAGTCCATCAAAATATGGACAGATACCGTAATGCCTTCAGAAGAGAAAGTCTTGGAAATATTTGATGTAACAAATGGAGTAATTTACTACAAATGCTGCATCTGGGTTCACCAAGTTATTATGGCTGGAGTTATCCAAAAAGATATAACCTAAGGCAAAACTGTTACTTCTGAACTTTCTGCTTGTAGGGGGAAATGTGAAATGCCATTAGGATCTAGAAATAAACCAAAATCCTTCACTGTTCTAGTGGAGAGGGCTGCTTTAGATTCTAATTCCATTAGATGTCATATGCAGCAAAATTTGTATCTGTTACGGGATACCTACACTACCCTAATTTGGGAGCATCTGCCTTGTAAAGGAAATGTGAATGCAGCATATCGATTTACACCACTTCCAATGCAAAGCTTATGTTGCATGTGTAATCTCAGTTTGAAATCCAAACCAATAATTGCCAACCTCCAAAAACATCAGAGGCTCAATGTAGGGAACCGAACATTGGCATTGGGGTAGCAACTCGGTATAGCTGTGTCTGTCATTGCTTGCACCTTATCCTGCTCTGTTTGGTTTAAGGAGTCTCTTCCCTCTTTTTCCTTTCTTGGATTTAGGAGTAGGCTGTAAGGCTTTGAAAGAAGTACTTAAAGAGCAAAGTGGTTTAGAAACAGTTTTCTGGAATACATGAACATAGATAATGCCTTGCCATATTCGCAGTGAATCTGGTACATCATTGCAGTAAGCTCTAAAGGGTCAGCTATTTGTTTGCATGGCAAGTTCTTCTCGCTCTTCTCAAAATAATCTATTACACTAGTTTATATAACATAATTTCTATTTAAGAGATGCATAGGAGGACACCACTAAAGATCTATTCCTTAATTTGGATTATGTTAGACTATAAACTCATCAAGGAAGGCAATTTTTATTGGTGAATCATGTGTTCAAGGAGGAGCCGTCCTGTTGTTTCAAAATTAGGATCATGCAGATCACAGGCAGAACTGCTAGTGCTAGTCAAAATGATCTGTTCATCGTAGCATTCTGGGATTTTTCTCTTTGAACAATTAAAATTTTATCATACTGCAACACTAGAAGTTGGAATTTTCTATGCTAGATGTCTGCCTCTGGATAAAGATTTTGGTTAGCTAGAGTTGGGATTTTTTCTTCATGGAGTTTTCATTTAAACTTAGTCATCCCAGAAAATGAGGTTTAATTTGTA